TTTAATATTATGGAAATAGAGACTCAAATAGTTTCATTTCAGGGAGACTGACCCTGAAAATCTTGAAAAGTATAGCTTCAACGTGTTTCCAGGCTGTTAAGAAAGGGAGCAGAAGTACCAGCTCCATATGCAGTGTTAGATTGGGTCTGCGCACCCAGAATAATAGTTTTTAAGTGTATAAATATTTTAAGTAACGAAATGTAAAAGTGAGAGTAGGCACAAATTAAACAGTAATTATTAATGTTGGCCTAGTTATTGGAGTAAAATTTATTGTCACGAGTTTAAAAATTAAATTGAATATTAAAATTCTAAGATGAGTAATGAAAATTAAAGTCAAGATAAATTTTGGAAATTATAAAAGTTAAAATTTAAGATTAAAATTGCAATGAAAATTAAAGTCAAGATAAATTTTGGAAATTATAAAAGTTAAAATTTAAGATTAAAATTGCAATGAAAATTAAAGTCAAGATAGATATTGGAAATTATAAAAGTTAAAATGAAGATTTAAGATTAAAATTTAAATAAAACTCAGAAAGCGAAGAAATTTAGAAATAGAGATTTAGACACGTAATTTATTAAGGGCATTGAGAACCCTTAAGTAAATCACGTTTTTCTTCTTGGAGGGGGTTGTGACGTCTCTCGCGTCTTTCTGATTAACATGACTCCTATGTTCTTTGACGGCCACGATTAATGGCAAAACTTTTCCAACCCAATACCAAGAAGATAAACGATCATAATATGTAAATGAGATATACTATAAAAGGATATCGTGGCAAGCTTAGATATAGCGTAGCAGGCTCAGAGATAGTATTGTGGAATTATTCTGATCGATAGAGTGACAAAGCTTAGTGTGAAATCTTGAGGATCAAGAATTAGCTGCCTTGCGGATCAAGAATCTTCATATATAAAGTTTATAGATAATATTCTCTAGGTCAAGGAACCAGAACTGAAAAAGGTAATATTGATATAAGTAATTAGATAAACAGGATTATTTAGGATAATTGGGATAGAGGATCTAGTTGCGTGATCTGACTTAAATACGTGATTTAATTTGTTCTTGACTCTCACTCTAATTAAATTTGTCAAATTAGAATTTAAGTAATATAAGTTACTCTTAATAAAAGTTGTATTAAGAATTATGTCTCATCATTTTGATAATCCCACACCTCTAGCTTACGCGGAACCGGCAAGACATGGTCATCACAGGATGGTTATGTCTCAATATATATATATATAAATATATATATATATATATATTGTTCAAATATTCAATTTTTTTTATAAATTACTTTGTATATTCATCCACTCAAGTTCATGTGCATTTTTTAAAACTCACAGTGAATGACACTTGATGTTAATATAGTTTTTTCGATTATTAATTAATTAATTAAATTTAATTTATGAACAAACAGTATAGTAACAGTACAGTAACAAACAGAAATAATAGTCAGGAAAATCGCTCAATGTGGATTTGTAGCGCAATGGATAGCGCGTTGGAATTCTGGTCCAATGGGCGTGGGTTCGAATTCCACCTGGGATGGCCTAATTTCTGAGAAAGTGATTTCTTTTTACTGTACTATTTTATTGGAATGCTTAAATTGAATTGCTGAATAAATAGTGACAAAAATAATAGTCCAACACCCTATATAGAAAGGATAGTGGAAAATTCCAAGGAAAAAATCACTTTCTATTTTGTTGCGTAATAGTGTGATTTTGTCATATGTATATACATGTTTTTTTATATTAATTGTAATTATTTAATGAAAAGTAACTAAAACAAAATTTTCTTTGTTGACCTAAGTAGGAATAGATTTAGTTTTTTTTATATATTACTTGTTTTAACTATTGTTGATTTTGTAGAGTTAGCAATATCAAAATATTTACAGATTTCAGTTTTCGTCTTCTGTTTTAGAGCAACTTCCATCTTCTTTTCAAGCGAAATGTCAGTTTGCATTTCCCCTGAGCTCTTTGTCATTGTGCTCTTAAAAAATCTTCTAAAATAGAACGGGAAAAAGAATGCTAACAAAAATACCCTAATTTTTACTCACACTGCGTTGTACTTGTCTCCGAATTTCAAAACCAACTGATGAGAGATAAGATGTTTTTTGTGTGGGGTTTTTGTAGTGGTGGAGTATGTAGCTTTTTATGAACAAAATTGGCTCGTGCCGCAAGCTCTTCTGAGGGTATTTCAAAGCTAAGTTAGCCTCTGTTCTACGGAACATGTTAAACCCCTTCCCTTTCATTTCACACCCCTCTTAAATCTCGCTTGCGTAGCTGGTGTTTTCCGCATTTTGTTCATTCCCAGAAAGGAAATATTTTCGCATAAAACGGTTTTTGTTACGTGCTAAGACGAAAAAAAAGCATGAAAATGTATACTCGTTTGTCGAGACAGTTGTATTATTTCACTTTAACCAATATTCCGTTTTAAGCATTTTTGCTTTAAACGTATTTCACTGTATCTCTGTTTTTTTTTTTCGTTCTTTAAATCACCAACATACATAGATTATGGAATCAAGATTGTTCTATTTTCCAACATTAACTGTTTTAAGAATACGGAGTTTTAAATTCAAAATAAGATTAGTTTTTTTTTCTTCCCTTTTTCTAAGTTCTGTGGAACAGAAAAGGAATAAAGGTGGAAGCGCTTTACATTAGAACCAAAGATTATAGTCAAAGAAATTCAAAAAGTAAAATTTGGACGACGATGTACGGATTTTCTTAACAAACTTTAGTGTTTCAAATAAATATTTCTTGATCGTAAAGCTATAAAAGTTTTTGTTTGTTCTCTTTCTAAAGTGTTTTATTGATTAATTCCTTTGTTAACCCATTAACTGCTCCTGAGGTGTATATACATCTTCCTAAAATGCAATCCTTTTATTTGCTCTTTTATCAGCTAAACTACTCCGAAGGTTTTGGCATGCAAAAAATGATTCAGTGTTTACAAATGATTCACTTATTTCAGAGATGAAATTGCTAATTAATGCCTTTCTTCCCCTATCCCCTTTTCAATATTTAGTTCTTATGTGAAAAACGGTGGCGCTGTGTAAAGCGAATCCTATAACTTTTAATGAGCTGTTAAGTGGCACAAAAATATATTTAATTTTGTACATTATACTTATATTTATTTATTTTTATACTTATATTTATTTAACATACTTATATTTATTTATACTTTATAATTTATTGCACTAAAATATATTTTATGTAACTTGTTTAAACAGAGATCGCATAATTTCAAAAGCATGTAAAAGGTAATCCATAACCTAACAAGAAAAGCACATAAGCATAGGAAATAAATTACATACTAATTTTTACTTGCAAATATAAGATGCATAGCTCATTTTTCCAACACAGTACTATTGGCCACATGCTTTATAATTTTTAATTGTCCACACGTAATTAGGATGATGCAGAAGCTAAATTTTCCCTCTTCAAAGTCTGCAACATACCAGCGTGAGGGCTTTGAACATAGATTGGTTTAAGGTATTTGACTACTTGCGGCATTTTTTTTTTAAATGGAGATATGGAGATTTTGGGGGGACATTTAGTTTGTACATTTTAAGAAAAAAAAGGCAACAATTAAGAAGACAAAAATAAATAATTGCTATTAAAATGCGAAAAAAATGAGTAAAAATTGACTCAAAATTACATAAACGGGCCCACTCTGTACAAATATTAATTGAACAAATTCTCCATTTTTCAATTTTAATGTATTACTTTGCTATTCCTTTTTGAAATGACCTTCAGGATAATAGATATTTTAATTTTTCCAAAAACTAGAACACTTTATCTTAGTTATTATATGAAATTTCTTAAGTAAACAGTGATTATATACACATAAAGAATTGTAAATTTAGTAATAAAACAGTGATTAAAAAATCTTAAGGTTAAAACCCTTTTAATGTTATACTGAATATAAACACACACACAAAAAAATACAGCAAGTTATCTTTCAAGCTTTTTGAGCAATCGTGGTCCCCTTTCAAGCTTTTGAAAAAAAAAACACATTTCGAGTAAAACGCATTTTAGTTTATCATCTTATGTAAAGTTATGTCATCTGTTTTTACTAAAACATTTGTAGTTTTTGTTATAATGAATAGGAAAAAAATTAGTATTCTTACAAAGCTCAAATGAATGCTTACAAAATAAAATCATAAGAAAATTTGTCAGTTTTTTTAAAAAACATCATGGTTTTAAGATAGTCGGATACCTTAAGCCCCAGGAGAAGGCGCGCTCTCTATACTAACGACAGTGTGTGTCTTGCGACTGGATCCCAATCCTTTTTTTTTCATAATTATATTTATACTACACGAATAAAAATAATTATTAAAGAGAAAATTTTTAAACCCAAAAGAACGTATACTAACCTATTTTAAGAGTGTTCATTATTTCTTTGATATATGAGAAAACGATCCAATCAAACTGAACTAAAATGTTTCAAATGTCACAGTTCAGGGACACTTTTCACTAACATTGCAGAAAATGACATTTTCAGGCAAAGTTATCACATTTTGTTCAAGTTATTGTAGGTTTATTTTCCTTCAATTATTGACAAATAGTATGTTGAACTTTTTCTTGCTTTGGTCTTTTTGACAGAGTGCAGTGTGTCTTGTGCTATACTTATGACATCATATTTTTCTTGATGCAGTTTTTTAGGTAGCATTTGGAAATGTTCTTTCCAACTCAAACTTTTCTTTTTTTTTTTCGCTTTTCTCAAATTTGCTTTGGCTATCATGATGGATATCCATTATTTTATCTGGTTATTTTCATACTTGAATGGTTCCAACTTCATCCAATCGAGATCACAAATGCCCATTTCTTGTTTTTATATTCAGCTAATTTACATTTATAAAACACAATAAGCCGCACAACACAGCTGTAAAAACCACCAAGTCATTCACAGGGGGGAAATATAGCCTGTTCATGGAAAATATTTTGGAACAAAAGTGGTCGTACTGGTAACTCATTTTTCCCAAGTAGCTTAAGATTGTAAAAAATGTTTGTCATTCCCAAAAAAGAGGAAAATATGTTACAAATGGATTTTTTGAAAAAAAATGTCTGTTATGTGGAAAATTGGTTAAATAGGGATTCATCTTTTAATAAACTTTAGAAACCACATAAAACAAAATTAAATTTCGTAAAAACTATATATCAGTAAAAATAAGTAATTATTTCCTCGTTTTTTTGTAAATACATATTTGTATTAAAAATCCTACCCATTAAAAAGAAATCTGCAAGGAAAAAAGGAAATAAACCATTGCCCAGCAAAACACTGTAAATTGAACATTAAAAATAATTTCATATTATAATTATAAAAGTTTAGTAACATTTTCTAATTTAGAGTCTACAAGTAATTTTAAATATGCAATACCACATACGTCCTTAACTTTAATTACTGATTAAATGTGTCGATTTTATTTGAGTTTTTATTAGAAAAACCATAACACATTTTTATTGCTCTAGGTAAGTGAGGCATCGGGAAAAATTTGTTCAAGGCAGTTGATCACCATAAAATGTGTTAAAAGAGAACAATTTGAAATGTCCAGAAATATTTTTAAAAAGGGGGAAGATATCAAATCACAAGAGAAAAAATTCGCTAAATAGAAGATACACTTCGTTATTTGGAGATTATTTTACGCAGAAAATATTAAAAGATCTTGGTTCCTGGAAAAAAATTCAAATATATAAAAATTTGATAAATGTATATTGCAGTATTGATGTCCGACTGTAAACTTATTAAAATGTTTTAATTTATGAACTTTATTTATCCGTTCTGTTTGATGCCTATGTTTTTTTTAAATCAGCATCAAAATTTATTTCGTAAGAAACTTAACTCATTGGTAAGTGCAATAGATTTTGCATGTTAAAAATTTTGATGGAGCTATGCTCGTGATAAGTTATGCCTTATTATAAGTAATAAAACATAGCTTATATTGCCTGAAAAGAGTGGTTTATGTTACATGGGGAAAATAGTTTATACTGCATGGAAAAAAAAATACATTTTTAAAATTCTGCTCTGCAGTAAAAGTAGTGATAAAAACATTATTTTTATAATTTTTATATTTCGATCTGAAAGTAAATGTAAGAGACTTTGAAATATAAAACAAAAAAAAAAAAAAAAAAAAAGGTATATTGCATCAACTAAAGGGGGTTTTTTCCCCCCCCTTTTTCCCTTTTCTTTTTTTTTCTAAATTTTAAAAAGGATGAAATCACGCGTATACAAATAACTGTTCAATATATATATATATATATATATATATATATGCGGCATGATGCTTTTAAGAGAAATCATGAATGATCCTTTAAATAGCATCAAATGCTTTTAATCAATTATTGTATAAAATTTCAAAAAATATTTAAGGGTTGCAGTAGCCTAGTGGTCCTCACTGAATTACGGTTAGCTTTTTAGGGGGTTCGCCGGGAATCGCTGAACGGGATTTTTTGAAACTCGTAGTGGGGGCGATATGCATTAAACATGTCGAGGCCCATATGGACTTCCATTGGTGAGGTGTAGAAATTAGGAAAAAGAGTGCAAATTTAGGG